AGAGCTAGAGATCGACAGGCGGATTGGTGCTGCATCTGCAGTCATGCGGGTGTTGTACTGGTTTGTTACGGTGAAGAGGGTGCTGAGCCAGAAGGCGGCTTACCGGTCAATACAATCCAACCCTTACCTATGGTCACGAGCTTCGGGTAGTGACCGAAAGAATGAGATCGCGGACACAAGCAGCTAAAATGAGTTTTCTCCACAGGGTGTCTGGACTCTCCCTTAGAGACAGGATGAGAAGCTTGGTCATCAGGGAGGAGTTCAGAGTAGATCTGCTGCTCCTCCCCATTGAGAGGAGCCAGTTGAGGTGGCTTGGGCATCTGGTCAGGATGCCTCCCTGGTGGAGTTTTCCAGGCATGTCCAACTAGGAGGAGACCCAAGGGAAGATCCAGGACATGCTGGAGGGACTGTGTCTCCTCACTGGCCTTGGGATTCTTCTGGAGGAGCTTGCCCAAGTGGCAGGGAGAGGGAAGTCTGGGCCTCCCTGCTTAGGCTGCTGCCCCCGTGAACTGACTAAGTGGATGGATGGATGGATGGATGGATGGATGACTCTTATAGACATTTTATGTGGTGTTGATCGGAGGGGCCGCTCGCATCTGTGAAGTGCAGCTTTGCTTTTGCCAGTGTGCCCCAGGGATGCTGTGGCTACATTGTAGCTTATCATCACAAGTGTGCAAATGTGTGTGTGAATGGGTGAATGACTGGTTTTGTTGTGAAGCACCTTGGGGAGCTAGGTAGAAACCTAGAGGACACTAAATTGGCCTTGGTCAAGTCATACAAGTAAACTCTTGTCTAAAAGACACAATGAACAACCGTCATGCCCTCACCCTTTAACCTAGATCTAGTCAGTCCACTAAATCTAGACGTGCACTTCCATGTTACGTCAATTTACCCAGAAATAACGGTCTAAGAAACAAAAACCAAAGCAGAATAATTTACCAGCAAGGAAGATTTTTGAACAAGGCTTTCAGAAAACTGAAGGAAAAAAGGAATAAATCTGTAACCGTGTTGTGCAAGCAGTGTATATATATATATATATATATATATATATATATATATATATATATATACATATGTATATATATATATATATATATATATATATATATATATATATATATATATATATATATATATATATTATTTTTTGGGTGGGCCATTCACTGATGCATCAGCCAGACACCAGACAGGAGTTTTGATTTAGCATTGTTCAAATAAAAACTGTTGCCATGAAAACAACGATGCAAGCGGCCACCTGGGACTTAAGCATCAATCGCCAGAAGACACTGATGCATGCCAGTTGGGTCTAATCATGGACTTGTGTACGAGAGTGTGCTCAAACCATTTTGATTCAGCCAGTCAACACACCCGTACTGGACACATGAGGCTGATAAAGAAGGACAGAATGTACTAAGTTAGCTAACACTGATGCAGAACTAAAGCTACAGTAAAAAAAAACATCTGAATCAGTAGTAGAACGTTAGCATGTCTGTGGAGTTAATATCAAAAATGGATAATACCGCCAAGCTGGTGACGTCAACAGACAGTCTAAAGCAACTGCAGCTAACGTCGCCCTTGACCCACTTCAGATTTGTCAGCGTGGAACCATGTGGGACACAGACCTGCTGACATAAGCAAACAGCCAGAAGCTAAAAACACAGCACTGTTAAAGCAAGCCGTGACTTCAACATTTCAACTACGGAAGAAGAAGCTAATTTAAAAGCCTGACAAAAGGAATGTATACACATAAATATACATGAATACACACAAGCAAGGGCCACCCTGAATGTTTTCACTCATCTCGATGTGCTAAAAAGTTCTGCTCTTTTGTTTTTCACCCGTCAACATAGCATCAGGATTGACAGCCGGCAAAGGTCAGAGGGTCAAAGTTTCAGCTCCACTCTTGGCTTTGGGTGATTGTTACCTCTTTTATTAGCTTCATGTTTTCCATCAAACACCAGGGTGTCTCTGTCATGTTTCCAACCCCATGTGGCTCCTACAAGCAATATTTACAACCTCAAAGCAGCCGCTTAAGGCGCCACCCCGCAGAGAGCTGCTTCTCTCTGTTCACAAGCTAAAAAAGTGATTATCTTAGCTTTGACAGCAGCTGCGTTCAAGCAGATTTATGGTCGGCTGTTTGGCGGAAAGGGAGAGAGGTAAGTGGGAAGGTGGAGGCTAATGTGTGACACTGAGCTGTAGTATCACAGAGCACCTCCAGCAGCAGGGAAACACGTGTAAAGGAGCCTCTGACAGGTTTGAGTGGAAATCCAGCCAAGTTTTGCGTTACATGATTTTATTTTTTTGTGTTGTTCTGCATTTCCCGTCAGCCTGAGAGGTGCCTGACACATTTTACAGTGTATGCAGGCGCCGTGCAGCATTGCATGTCTTGTGTGCATGAGTGTTAGATATCATTTGATTATGTTTTTGTGCAAACAATTCATGCAAATTTTAAAAACAAACATAAGGGGAGCGATCACAACACTGCTTGGCACATGTTTAAAAAAACTGATTATGAAAGAAAACTCATGCAAAATAAAAATAAAATGCACTTTATATTGTTTTTATCAATCAATCAGTCAATCAATCAAGGCTTTATTTATATAGCGCCTTCTTCACACAGTACTAAACACAGTAACTAAATACAATCATGATATAAGAGATTCAAACATTGAACACGAAACGACAGAATTGAAAGCAAAGAATCAAAACTACATGAAGGTAAGTCAACTTCAAGCATGTTCAGGAAATGCTAAACGAAAACAGTGGGTGTTCAGGCGACTCCTAAAGACCGGCAAAGAAGTAGACTGCCTAACTGACTGTGGAAGCTGGTTCCAGGGTGATGGTGCTAGAAATGAAAAAGCCCATTCTCCACGAGTCCGACACCTCGTACGAAGGACAACTAGCAGGCCCTGATCAGAGGAGCGCAGAGAGCGTGATGGGACATATCGTTTCAGGAGCGCCGAGGGCACGTCGTGATTTTTATCTTGAGAGGCGCTATAGAAATGATACTTTCTTCTTCTTCTTCTCCATGAAAGAAACTAAAAACAAACACCAGAAGTTTAAAACGCGCCTGATAAAACAACTGGAAGCCAGTGTAGGCAGGCCAGGACTGGACTTGTGTGGTCGCCTTTCCTGGCTCCAGTGAGAAGTCCTTCACTGAGAAACCATTTTTTATTATTACTATTGGTCACTCTGAGTTTACCATGTAGGCCGAACATGAAATGGTCTCCTACACCTATCTCCTGCATTAACTTCTGATAGAAAACAGACGATGAAACTCCAGGATCAGAAAATCCTGACAGATCTACATCACTCTGTCACTTAGCATTCATGGACTCACCCATCTTGACACACAACGGGAAAGGCTGTTGTTGGTTTAGCGTCCAGGAAACCGCAGAGAATCTCTCTTCTAGTAGAAGCTAAATGTTTATATTAGCAACTCCACCACACAGCAGAACTCCTTCAGGCCTGTGTTATTTGTGGAGATAAAACATAAATGTTGCAGCGCAAACAGAGTCAGTGGTAGAGTCATGTTACTGCTATCCAATCAGAGGCGAGATGTCCAAATATCAGGAAATATAGGAAAATCTGGCTGAATTCACAGTGCTGAAAACAGTTTTAGCTCAGTTCAGACATTAAATGGTCCAAATGTTAAAGTTTCAACAAGAAATAAAATCCAGTCAACTCCTTGTTTGACAAACATGCTTGACTGATTTCTCAGGAGCAGATGTGCAGAAATCACACATGAGGGGAACATGGAGGTATGTAAATGTGAGTGAATGGGACTACAATGAGGTTTAGCCAACATGCAAAGCCACAAAACCGTTTAATATAGTACTTTTAGATGGGCTTCAAGTCAGTAACAACATTTTGCTGAAAAAAACAAGTTTCAAAGACAAGAGGTTGCAGCGTTCTCCACTGACCGGTGACTCAGGCCTAGTCCACACGTAGCCGGGTTTTTTTAAAAACGAATATCCGCCCCTCCAAAAACTTGCATCCACACCACCTCGTTTTAAAAAAAAACTCTGTCCACACGTACCTGGACAAATACGTTGTTAAGGACATGCCAGACCTGTAGGCGGCAGTACTTCCCCCGTTCTTAACCTCGTCCTTCGTCTGTGGTCTTCCACAAGGAGCAGTAATTCCGCTTGCAAAAACAAACAAGCAAAAAGCGCTTGGACAATTGATAAAGCGAGCGCAGCTCTGAGGGCATCCGTGCTGTCGGCTAGTGTAAACACAGGTCGCACACGTGATGTCAGCATTTTTTTAATGCGGAAAGTGACGTTGTGGACCTTAAAACTCTGGTTTTGTCTGTCCACACGCAGACACCCAAAACGGAGAAAACGCAGATCTTCACTTTGGCCGGAGTTTTTAAAAAGATCCGTTTTTGTGTGAAAAAACTCCGTTTTCGTGTGGATGACAGGCCAAAACGTAGAAAAATATCTACGTTTTGGCAGATCCCCGGCTACGTGTGGACAGGGCCTCAGAGGTGAGGTGCAGGAGGTTGTGAAAGACATGTGATGAAAATAAAAGGCAACATGTGAAAAAGGCTAAATAAGTGCAACTTTTTTAAGGAAGTGTTCCTGGATTAGTTAGAAAACCAAAACTTGAAGTACTTCCCATGGCACATTTATGTAAATGTCCAGAGAAAGAAGAAATATGAGAAAACGATTCTAAAGAAAGCGACACTAAGCAGGACATTTTCCAGACGAAGTTGCACAATTGTTTCCAAAAGTGGGAATAAGCGAAGAAGAGGAAACATGCCAGTAACATAAAGTTCTAATTTGAAACAAATGAATGAAGACTTTTTGAATCTACGTGTGGTAAGAGTCTAAAGCTGCTGTTGATTGGTTTATATAGAATATTTTACTCCAGAAAATAAAATTCAAAAACCTTTACTACATTATGACAAAACACCCAGAAATTCCTTTTTTCTGTTGTTTGGTTGTTTTTTTTTTTTTTTTTTTTTGACCGGAAAGGAAAAGAAGAAATGAGAGAAGCTTTCTGTGACAAACCACAGACAAACGTTTGCTGCAAACACAGAAACTGGCACGAAGACAGCCCTCACCCCATACCGACGGGGAGCACGCATCATCACAACGAGCGGTAAGTAACAAAACGTTTAATAAACAGAGCCCATTTGTAAAAACTCCTTTGATTAATCAAGCTTTAAAATTCCTTAATAAGGCAAAAAGGAAAACTTTAGACACTAATACCATTTAAATGATTCACCCTTGGGCTGCGCAGTGGCGCAGTGGTTAGAGCTGTTGCCTTGCAGCAAGAAGGTCCTGGGTTCGCTTTCCAGCCTGGAAACTTTCTGCATCCCTGTGCATGCGTGGGTTCTCTCTGAGTGCTCTGGCGTCCTCCCACGGTCCAAAAACATGACTGTTGGGTTGTTTGGTCTGTCCAAATTGTCCTTAGGTGTGTGTGTGTGTGTGTGTGTGTGTGTGTGTGTGTAAGTGTGTGTGTGTGTGTGTGTGTGTGATTGTTTGTCCTGTGTCTCTGTGTTTCTGTGCGATGGACTGGCTCTCTGTCCAGGGTGTACCATGCCTGATTGCCCATTGACTGCTGGAGATAGGCGCCAGCCCCCCCCCCCCCCCCCCCCCCGATGGATGATTTACCCTTTTTATATGAAATACGTGCATTAACGTCTGATTTTATGAATGACTTGCTCTTTTTTAATTCTAGACACAAACATGGAGGTAAACACGTTTCACCCCGTCCTCTCTGGTAATCACAGCCACCCCAACAGCAGCTGTTCCCGTGACAACGCCTTTAAGACGGTGGTATTACCCGTCCTGTACTCTTTACTTTTCCTGGTTGGAATGTGTCTGAACTGCGTGGCAGCCTGGGTGATGTTCCGCATACCCTCCCGGTCTCACTTCATCATTTACCTGAAGAATATTGTTGCTGCTGATCTCATCATGACCCTGACCTTCCCTTTCAAGGTGAGTCACGTTTGTGCATTACTTAGACAAAATTAGACCAAATATGGATTGACTGTGTTTATCTAAAAGTAATACAGTGATAACTCAGATTCTAATGTGGGGTTTTGCGGAGGGGTTATGAACATTCTCCTTGGATTGATGTGCTAATGGCTAGTTCACATTAATATAATGTTAAAATAAATTCCATATGGAGGTTCGTTACATCATTTTGCATGAACTGCTGTAAAATCTAGGAGCTACGGGCTGTTTTAAATGGTAACTCAAGCTTAAAGGATTTCCGCTGAAGTAATTCTCACAGCAGAAGTTTTCCAAGCTTGAGTTGTTTGTAGAGATAAAACATCCAATCAGTTTCCAGTCTGGGGCGGGATGACCAAATAATCAAATCCTGCCGTGTTAAGCTCTCCGGTGATGTCACAGACTTGGCCCTGCTGAGCCAGGGGTTTGTGGGCTTCTTTGTGCCCTGAGTACTGCCTGCAAGGCATTCATTCTTCCTTAGAGAATACTGCAAATGCATTGATTAAACGATTAATCCACTCATTTAAAAGGAAGAATGCATTACAGACAATAAAGAGATATTATACTTATTGTTTGTTTTTAAACAGATGTTGGCAACAATCTTCTTTAGTCTTGGCATCATTCATACTGGCCTTTGACTCATCAATCTCATCCAAACTAATCCTAATTTCTCTACAACAAGGATGCTCAAAGAGCAACAAGGAGTGTATTAATTTTCCTAACATCTCCACAGAATGTCGCATGGTAATATCTGGCTCATCTATTTCAACTAAAACTTGTTTTATTACTCTGTTAACCCTCCCACTGTCCTAATGGGTGTGACCCGGCGAGGAAAGTTGACCATTGAGCAGGGTTGATGGTTTATCCCTTGAGGTCCGCGTGGCAGGAGTGAGGTGGTGCTCACTCCTCACCCCTGCCACGTGGACCCAAGGGATAAACCATCAACCCTGCTCAATGGTCAACTTTCCTCGCCGGGTCACACCCATTAGGACAGTGGGAGGGTTAAAAAAGCGTGTCACTTTTTTGCATTTGCAAAAGATTCGCCACTTTATTGCCACACGTCATTTCATTTTTAACAAACGATGAACATCACATCAAAAGAGCCATTTATCATGTTGGATTGTTGAGGTTAAAAGTAAGATTTATAAAACTAATGCTGTGTCTCTGCAGGTGTTATCAGACTCCAACACGGCACCCACCGTCCTACGGATCTTTGTCTGCCGCGTCTCCTCGGTGCTGTTTTACCTCACCATGTACATCAGCATCCTTTTCTTTGGCCTCATCAGTATTGACCGCTGCAGAAAAACCCTAAAGCCATTTACAGGAAGTCACTCGGGCCGGCTGGTCTGGAGGAAGCTCCTCTCAGGAGCCATTTGGGCCTTTCTGCTCACCCTCTGTCTGCCCAATGTGATCCTCACGCACAAAACTCCCCCTTCTCGGTATTTTAAGTGCAGCGACCTGAAGGCAGAGGGTGGCCTTTACTGGCATGGGCTGGTAAATTATGTCTGTCAAGTGATTTTCTGGGGCAACTTGTTGACCGTGATAATATGCTACACTTTAATCAGCAAGGAGCTGTACAAGTCCTACTCCCGTACCAAGTCCCAGAACACTGTGCAAAACGTGTCCTTGACATCAAGTGGGGGAAAAACTCGGAAGCCTCACCAGTCCAAAAGAAAAATCCACGTGAACGTATTCCTGATTCTGGGGGTGTTTTTTGTTTGTTTTGTGCCTTTTCACTTTGCTCGAGTCCCGTACACCATGAGCCAGACCGAGCGAGTTACGTTTGACTGCTCTCTCAAGCTTTTCTTCTTCCAGCTGAAGGAAATCACACTTTTCCTCTCTTCCATGAACTCTGTGCTGGACCCTCTGATCTACTTTTTCCTCTGTCGGTCCTTCAGGACCATGCTGTTTCAGACCCTACGGCTTCCCTCCGGTACGTGCAGCTGGGCCACAGGAAACAGAGTCATCTGACTGCTCATAAAACAAGTCCGCTGGACATGAGGAAGACTCGGTGGGAACATATGCTGACAGAACGCCAGGGTTAATATGGAGGCCTGCTGTTCAGAAGTGGATCAAAACAGAACCAAGCTTTGTTGTTGTATTCTAGGATTTATGGGTTTTCGCAGAAAAGGATGCCTATACCACTTACTGAATGCTTACTTACTACATTATGGTTTTTCTTTTACAACCAATCAATCAATCAATACTTTATTAATCCCAGAGGGAAAGTAGAGTTTCAGTACACACAATTCAGAGATCAGACATACATGGGCAAGACACATGACAAGAATTGGTGACTGTGGTCATTCGCAACCGGAGTCGCACTACCTTAATAGAGATAAGAGGGTTACATGAGGACTGGCTCAGGTGGAGGGAAAAAAAGGCACTTCAGAGTTACCCTCCACCGGGAGGTGGAGGTCAGGTTTTCACAGCATCTGTCTGCATTCCTTCGTGGGGGTTTTTAGTTGCTTGCAGCTCAAGACCACCAGGGCATCAGATTCAGATAGCAAGAATTTGTTTGGGTCAGGCTGAGATAATTTTCCTCTCTGCCTTCAGTCTTTAAACTGATCATTCCAGTCCTTCAGTGAAGCCAATTTGGGGTTTTTAAACCTGTCCATACCGTCCAGTGACTCTCTCCGAGATGACATCCATTTTGCGCACTAATACCGGTATCGCAGCTAGAACATTGTCCAGCTTACGATTCACCTCGAGTAACGTCCCAGTCTGAGAGGTCTCCACACGGACGGTGCTTTCCGTGGGTGCGGGTTGCCCTCCAATCGCTCTCGTCTTCCCAAATTTCCAGAAAACCAGATATCCTCCCATTCCAATCAGGAGAAATCCAGTGATCATCAGGCCGAACACGTCTTCGATATCCTCAATGGACAGCTGGGAGAGGCATATGATATTCCACTCCTTCCAGGAATCCAGCATATACCCCACCGGGTGTGTCCCCTGTGGACATGTGGGAGCCCCCTGCTCCGTTCTCATTGTTGAAAAGATCTTATCGATCGCATTGAATGACCAGTTTATCAGATCCATGGTTAAAAATGGGGTTTTTCGGAAGAAATGCAAAGAAGCGCTCTGTGGGCAGACAGGACAAAGAGCCTTGGGAAAAACAGATAAGGGAGCGAAAGAGAAAAGCGTCTGTCCTCCTTGAGTGCCTGAAGAAACATGTACATGGAATATTTTCTCACCACACTGGAGATTTGTTTTTCTGTTCCCAATTCAAGTTCATAGAAGCGTTAAGTTTCTCTTCTTTATTAGAGTTTTACTGATTCTCAGAAGAGGAAATGGGAAATAAGTCATTTTAAATCTGGAAATAATAGTCATTTAGAGAAAATCTAAAGGCTGTTATGATCTATATGTGGTACAGGTGAAACTCGAAAGATGAGAATATTGTGCAAAAGTTCATTTATGTCAGTAATTCAACTTAAAAGGTGAAACTGGACGAGCTAGAATCGTTACATGTTAAGTCTTTATTTGCTGTACTTGTGGTGATTATGACTTACAACTTATGAAAACCCCAAATTCAAAATGTCAGACAATTAAATTAATTGAAATAAAACCAATAAAACAAGAATTTTAAACAGAGAAATGAAAAAGTTTAATCTTGCATCTGTACTCATCACTCTGTTTGGGCCCCTTTCTACTGCAATAAAAGACATTTTGCGCACAATATTTAAACGTTCTGAGTTTCACCTGCTAACGTGCTAACTCCTAACGACTCTATGCCTCAATTGGCTCTTAGCTTGATGGTGCAACCCCAATGATTTAAGAAAATTCAGCTATAATCTGTTCAGTGAATCCTAAGGTTCGCTATTATGGCTTCATCTTTCTGCTCAATATCTGTAAAACTGACAAAGTCAAAGACATTTTTGTATTTTCTTTAGTCGGTTGGTTATGGTAGCCATCTTGAATTGTATTCAGTGGTCAATGCATAATATACAATCTCTCTGATAAAACTAATTATCTCATGATTATGAGATAGTATCTCATAATAGTGAAATAGTATTTCATTATTATGAGCCAGCCAAATCATAATTATGAGATTTATTTTTTCATCAGAGTGGCAGGAATGGGCTTCCATACAATGTACTGATATATTAAATCGAAAATATTACTGTCCACCTTTTAGCTTTAGTCAGTGAGTAAATAACTCAATTTTTATTATTCAGTGATTTATGCTCAATTCTCATCTGACCAATAGATACAAATTGGTTTCTCAGCTACAACGAATCAGTTTTAGTTGTCTATGTTTCTCACTGGTGGGAAAATAAATCCCCATAACAAAATCCAACAAACACACCAGACTTAATAATAATTTTCCTTAATGGTTATATGGAACATTACCGCGACAAATGTCATTTGACTTCCCGCCCAGAACTAGACAGATTTGCATGCCTCCAGCTGACAAGGCTGACAGTCATTTGCAATTTTAAGGAATCCCAGAGTGGACAACACGGAGTTTAGAAGATAACCTTTCTGAATGGTGAGTGGATTAAAACAATTTAAATGTCTTCATTTAGGTACCAAAGTACAAGAAGAAGATCAGAGGATTGTAACTGTAATATGTGGGTCATGTACATGTCTGTAAATGAGAAAAGAAATCTTTTATCAGATGTTAAAGATGCGATTGGACCCTTGTTTGTGTGTGTGTGTGTGTGTGTGTGTGCGTGCGTGCGTGCGTGCGTGTGTGTGCGTGTGTGTGTGAGAGAGAGAGAGAGAGAGAGAGAGAGAGAGAGAGAGAGAGAGAGAGAGAGAGAGAGAGAGAGAGAGAGAGAGAGAGAGAGAGAGAGAGAGAGAGAGAATTAAAACCAACAAAACATAACTTGTATGACTCGGTGTCAAAAGTGAGAAAGTCAGATTCATATTTCACGATGCATTCAAATGCTCTGGTCAGACATTCAAAAGAAACATCAAACATATCAGCAAATGTTATTTTTGCTCATTACAAATGAAAATCAGGGTCATGAGGGCGTGGCTGGAAAATGAATGTGAAGCCACAGGATCTAGTCTAGAGACGCGCCCTGACCTCTTTCTCAGCAGCTTTTGCTACAAGCTCATTCTCAGAGACAGTTACATAAACATTCAGGAAAAGCAGATTCAGAATTCTGACTTCCTGTGTCTTCTTCCAGATCTTGAGGATGTACAACAACTCGTCCCACTTCTCCTCTGGCTGTACCTCGTTTAGCCTCGTCGATATAGACGTTGTTGTTGCATGCCTCTTCCTGGTTCTTTTCCCCGTCGCCTTGTTGCTGAACGGGGTGGCGCTGTGGGTTTCTTTGCACCTCCAGTCCCTTTCCACTTTCATAGTGTACCTTAAAAATCTGCTGATGGCTGACCTGCTCATGACCATGACAATGCCTCTGATAGCAGCAAGCATGCTTCCTGGAGCCACGTCTGAGCTGAAGGTCTTCAATTGCCGCTACGCTGGCGTTGTTTTCTACACCAGCATGTACACAAGCATCACTTTGATGGGTCTCATCAGCCTGGACCGCTTCTTCAAGATTGTTCAGCCATGTGGGAAGGTGTTGGGGCAGAACGTGATGTTCAGTGTGATAATGTGCTCCGTGGTTTGGGTGGCTTTATTTGGCGGCACAGCTTTTCCACATTTCATTCTGACAGACCAGGCTCCTAATAATCGATCAGCGAGTTTCTGCATGGCCCTGAAAAGTCCAGCTGGGACGGCTCTTCACAGCTACGTGGTGGCATTAATGGAGTTGCTTTTCTGGCTTGTCTGCTCTCTGGTTGTTTTCTGCTACAGTTGCATCACAATGAAAGTCCTGCAGTCTTTCAGAAACTCTGGAAGCAACAACAGGCAGGGGAAGAAGAAAACCAATCGGCGAGTCTTCCTGATCCTTCTTGTGTTCTTCGTGTGCTTTGTTCCTCTGCATTTCCTGCGCATTCCTTATACTCTTTATCAAATTTTCCACATTAGTGTCTGTCGTCAGAAATGGGTGCTGATATTACACAAGTTCTCTGTCTGGGTCGCTTCCTCAAACGCCATCTTGGACCCTTTTCTGTACATCTACTTGTGCAAAGACTACAGAGAAAAGCTGATTGACTTGATGAAAGGCTGCGGTATCGACGTTCAACGCTAGCAAAGCAAGAAGAATCCCATTTGAAAACTGCAAAAACTGCCTTCTAAAAAGTAACAAAAGCCTTGTTTTTAGACATTTATCTTATTTTTGGTCTAAAAAGAAAAAAAATTCTAAAAATATAATTACTTAAAATGAGGTTCACATTCCTAAATATGATTCAAATTTTCTTGTTTTGATTAAAAGAAAATCTGCCAATAGGGTGAGCAAAAGTTACGTGGATAGAAGTCTTAAAGTCAAGCTAGGCAGCTTTTCTTGATAGACCCTTTACAAAGTTAATGAAACGCCTCTCAGACCTTAGCACCCCTTGTGGCCAGAAAACGGCATTTGCAACTTCAGAGTGCCGGTCCGGTCTGTGGACAAAAATGGAGCTGACATACCTGACGCTGCAGTCTGCTTCCGGCACGTTTCCTGCAGGTTTTAGATCATGAACACAGCTGATTCTTTAGTTCTTCCGGCTCTTGGCGGGTGCAGACGCTTTTTTCCTCCTCTCATCCATATCTTATCCTCAAGGCCCTTTGTCTGTCTCTGTGTGCTGGGTGCACGGCTGCTTCTGCATTTTTTGTGGAAACTGGAAACTGAAATTCACTAAAATGGATCTCGTTATCTGGTGTCTCAACGCGATTGATAAAATTTTTTCAACGATGAGAACGGGAGAAGGGGCTCCCGGATGTCCCTCCGGCACAGACCCAGTTGGACACATAATGGACTTCTGGAAACAGTGGAACTTGATCTGTTTATCTCAGCTGTCTGTGGAGACTCTGAAGATGTGTGGATATTTGTGGTGTTGGTGTCAGGTTTCCTGCTCATTGACCTTGGAGGCTACCTGGCTTACCGGAAAATTAACGAGCTGTCGAGGAATATTGGCGTGATCCCGGAGCTCAGAGATGGTTTGCACCGCGCTGTGAATTCACAGACTCAAATAATTGTCGAGATGAATCATGAGCTTGGGACGTTGGCCGAGATTAATTCATTGGCACAAAAAATGGATGCCATCAAGGAGAGAGTGGACGAATCAGCACGGATTGGGATAGTTTAATGTCCATTATTGGGATTTTGAGAAGTTGAGGACCAACAAACTGTAAGACAGAGGAAATTATCTCTGTCTGGCCCCAAAACAATGTCTAATCGGAATATGGCGTCCTTGAGCCTGCAAGGCTCCAACGAAAACTCCCCCCTCATAAGATATGTGGAATGTGCCATCGATATGGCAACTCAACTCTGTCTCCTTTCCCAGCCTGGGTGAGACTGCGGGAAGGCCGCTGAAGCGTCCAGGGTCACTGCAACCCTTCAACCCTCAATGCTCCTCCCCCTATCCACACTGAGGTGACATGCACTGCTTCTATCGTGGCTGCAGGAACTGAAGTGTGGATAGTCCCAACCCACCACCCCACCTAGTGGACACTTATGTTGTGTAATGTCTGAAGTCTGTTGCATATCTGTCTGAGGTGTTTTTTTTTGTTGTTGTTGTTGTTTTTGCAGAGCAAAGCTGCCCTCCCGGTGGAGGGTAAGTCTGAAGTGGCTTTTTTTTCCTCCACCTGAACCAGTCCTCATGTAACCCCTCTTATCTCTATTAAGGTAGCGCGACTCAGGGTTGCGAATGACCACAGTCACCAATTCTTGTCAAGTGTCTTACCCTTGTATGTCTGATCTCTGAATTGTGTGTACTGAAACTCTAATTTTCCTCTGGGATTAATAAAGTATCTTTGATTGAATCACTCCTGTAGACGCTAATGAAGGCTGGGGAGACATTTCAGCTGTTAATTAAGGTGCTGAAGACAAACGCACAGCGAGAAGATAGGTTTGCTTTCAGTTCTACAAATGGGAGCTAGAGGGTGCTAAAAGCAAGCCAAAACTGCTTAGTTCTTTAAAACTAGCAAATAAATCACAGTTTTGATTATTTTGCACATTTATTTTAGATGAGACACCACATAAGATTTATTTTTTCTTTTTAGACAAAAATATGATAAAATGTCTAAACATAAGGCTTTTTTAGAAATCCGTTTTTGCAGTGTAAAACTAGGAGTTAATTGTAGGAAAAGATGCACATGAAAAGAAACTCTCATCAGACAGAAAGAGCTGGTTTTGAAATGTTGTGTTGCACAGCCATCTAGTGACCTAACTCAGACCAACATCTATATATGCAAAAACATACATCTGCAGAGGAGTTCTTTGGTTAGATGGCTCAAAGTCCATCTTAACAAATGTTATTATGCATGCAATAGCTTATAAAGTGGATAATATAGAACAGCAAAGCATATACCTGAGAGATAACTGTTTCAGAAAACCTTTGCACAAAATGAAAATATCAAGAGTTACATGTGAAAAATGAAAAAGTACAATTAGATTTTCACCAAAGATCACAGATCTTACAGGTGTGGTTCACTGAAAAACCATTATGTGATGATTATTTCTGATTATAATGAGCCACTCTGAGTCTTTCATGCAGGTTGAACATGAAGATAGTCTCCTACACCTATCTCCTGCATTATCATCTGATAGAAAAAAGATTATGAAACTTTGAAAATCCTGAACATGTGATGTCTGTTTTTGATAAAAACCATTAAAAGCTTTCCCTATTTTTGCATACATCCTGATAAATTATCCTTTTTGTCACAGCTGGAACTTGAATTTGTTTGATATGAAAATCAGCAGTGGCTGTCCTGTCATCGCAGTCAGATGGATCATTTCATAACTTTGTGTTTGAGGAGAAAGAATCCGATCATCATTTGTAAGTTTCTATCTACTATCAGTCTGTAAACATGCTACTCAGCTTACATTATGTTATAGATTGTACGACCATTTTTTAAAATGTTACTTTATGAAAGAATCAGAACTATTAGAAATGTGGGACTTACAAATGTTGTACAGATAAGTTTAAACAGAAATGTGGGTTTTTGCTTATTTCAGTAATTAAATACATTTATAATGAACCATGATGATTATTTATGATGATTATTATGAACCTTGTAATAAACAGTAAAAAGAGTTTATTAAAAATGATTATTTTAAATCTTGAAGTGTCCTTCATCTTGGGACGGAACAGCAGACTGATAAAAGGCAGTCAGATTAAAGATGGTTTTCAGCAGACTGTATGTCTCCCATGATGGATAATCTGTGGACAAAGTACAGCTTGAGCCAGCTCGACCTAGCTGGGGAAGTGTGACCTTTGGGTCACAAATGAGGCCATTTCGCTACAATGACTTAAGTTTAGGAGTTACTTCTTTACTAGCTCTTTTATAAAATCTGATGAGTATTTTAAGCAGACGTGACAAACGTCATACATTTTTATTTCATGCCAAGAAAGAATTTTAAATTTTGTCCAACAAACCAAATATTTAATCAAGTTAATTACAACAGATGTTTACATATGATTTAACTGAATCTTCCCAGTTTACTGGGATGTGGTACAGATAATAACGTGTTTTATTTTCTCATATCAGAGCGTCTTACCGCTCCCGTCAGTTTGGCACAACGGACGTCTGCTTCTTTTCTTCTGAGTTTGAAAATCACTGATAAAAATGTTTGTGTATTTTCTTTCTTATTCAACTGTGTGTCGAAGCATTTAGCAGATCTGTGCATTTGTTAATAGATAAAGGCTCTCTTTCAGAACACATTAAAATCTTTACGGCAACAATTTTTGTTGTTTTGTTTGTCAGTTTTCTAAAAGGCACTGATGTCTTTAAACTGATTGGTTTTCCTCACTACTTCCTCTTTATGGTGCTGTTTCTACCGATTCTCTCTTTCTTGAGATCCTGTACTACCTTTTGTTAATAATTTTCTTTCTTACTTCTCCTTTTTTTGTTAGAAATGTTGCATTTTCCTCATTTTTATTACAATACGTGTGTGTGTGTGTGTGTGTGTGTGTGTGTGTGTGTGTGTGTGTGTGTGTGTGTGTGTGAGGAGATGCTTCATAAGAAACCGTTTCTTCTTATTTTCCACCTGATTATTTTCTAAATGATTTTATTTTTCAGACTCAATTTTAATACCACATGAATTTAAATTTCTAAGGCTAGTTTAGTGTGGTTTGTGTTTTTTGGGTGACCTGCACCACTTCATGTCGGGTGTTTGTTGCTCTGCTGTCTTTAGCAATAACAAAAGAAAACAGCATACACAATAATAATGTAAGAAAAATATCCCCTTTATCCAGAATTTATATAAATGACTGCAACAGAGAGACGAGTGAAAGTAACCAAGGACGTTGCATGTACAAGCTTTCCAACATTAGGTGTGCACACTAGAGAGCACTGCAGCAAAACACTTGTTATTCTGCTTGGGTCACGAACCTGATAAAATTACAGCTCATTGCTTTTTCCATTTTTGTTGCACAACCACATGCTTAAGCAAAGCAGAGGACCTTACATTGTTGAAGAACCGCACGTGATCACATGGAGTTATTGGTCTTGGATGGTGAACATCAAACAATGAGCACAGTCAGCTTATGAAATACACATATGAGTAGACACCAGCAATTATCTCAGAGACACGATTCCCGAGACACCTATCTGGGAATGACTAAAGACCATTTCTAAATAACGTGGAGTTGGTCGTTCCACAGTGGGAATCATTATTCATAATTCCAAGCTCTTCCCAGGAGTGGACGTTCCAGCCAGTTTAACCGAAGGTCAAACTTCAATGCTTAAAAATACAAACTCAAGAGCTCGATCGCTGACTCTTCAGACCCAGTTAGCCTGTTAAGGTAACAATAAAAAGTGTTTAACACTTTGAGCTGTTGCTTTAAAACTGGTTTCAGTGGTTCTTGAGCCAGTTCTCATAGACAGCCCTCTGTACCGGTAGCTCATATACAAGCTAGCAGCTAGCTTTCTCAGTTCGCCAAACAAAAAAAAAGCAAGCAGAAGAAGTTAGCTTTTTGCTAGCATCATTGGGAAGCCTGCAAGTAAAAGGGAGAGAAAAATGTCCCTGAAGGTGATCAAAGCTAGTGTGAACTAGACAAGCCAAGAGCTAAAACCAGAGTGAACACTTCTTGGTTTCAGTTTGAAACCATCTTTTTCTTCATTTCTGAACTGCCGATAACCATAAATTCATAAAAACAAAGAAAAAGCAACACCTTGTTTGACAACATTGTTTTCTGTAAAGCCGGTGTCGGTACAGGATCTGCTCGGGTGCAAGATCGACTCGGGGTCCTTCGACTGCCAATAACGTCAAAGTACGGCAAACCCACTCGGACAAAATACACTACACATCTATACTGTTGGAAAGAATTTAGCAGTTTCGTTATTAAAATAATGTTTCTTACGACGTAAGTTTGTGTTTATAATGGTATTTGTAAAATAAAACACTACATTGTATTCATAATGTTAAACTCCTCTTTGAGCACATCCCTTGAAGGATCATAGATATTATAGCAATACCTGAGAAATAGTATTTGCAGGAAAGAAGTGTGTCCCGTTTATTGAAGTATTTTGTGTTTAGAGTTTTTGACGTCTTGTCCATGCGTAGTTCAGTTACGCTCATAGCTGCTAGCCAAAACTCTGGAGTTTAAAGTTTTCTGGCTTTACTAAAATACCTGTCTGTACTTATTTGATTGATGGTAGTTTTACTTTCTATTAGACTCCAAATGTAATAATTTGGCACGTTACTAATTCATAATTTGTAAGAATGTAATCGGTGATATTAGCATTAGCATTCCTATGGGTTTTTCCATGTATATTAGCATTGCGCTAACCACTCGCTGCCAAATTGCAGCCTTTGCGATTAGAAACTCTCATTTTGTCACATCGCAATTTAATTGCACATGAAATTAATCGTTCAGCCCTAATATACATGCAGCTCTATGCTAAAAGTGTATTTTCAAAGAGGTAATGATGGATTTCTTTGTAAAAGTTGTCCTTTCCAACAGAAAAATTTGCCTGGACCAATGTAACGTGAGAACAACATAATGTGATTACGTAACCCGTAAGGTTCATGTACAGCCAATCAACTACTTGACGTCATCAGCAGTCGAAGGACCCCGATCTTGCACCCAAGCAGATCCTGTACCGGCACCGGTACTAGCAGCAGCAGGGTTGTTAATTGCTGTTGTAGTTCTGCTGTCCACCAGTGTGTGTGTGTGTGTGTGTGTGTGTGTGTGGGGGGGGGGGGGGGGGGGGGGGGGACCTTATTACGGTAAGTGTTCTCTCAGTTAGATTTGAATAACTAAAGTTGAAGTTCATGAACATGCAATAAGAAAATGCCAGAATGTGTTTGGCTTGTCAGGGAGAGTTTCAAGAGAAAACATCTGCTCTATAAAGGGTTTTTTGACAGATGACACCATCCCATGTTTGACAATAATCAGAAACCTCTTACACCAGCAGAGAGAACAGTGGCTAAGGGCTGATGATTTGACTTTGGCCACAACACCTTGACCCCTTCAACCATGAACGTCAGTGAGCACCAAAGTTAGAATCAGGCGTCAGACCACACGCTGGCTGCTAGAGCTTGACAGACTATTTTTGGTTTGTTCTTGTTTTACAAAGTATGTCATGATGAGAGCTGTTGTATTTTTGACTTAACTTGTGCTTAGATTGGAATAATCGTAGAACCCACTGCAAGAGGACTATGTTTAAATGAGTCCACTTCTAAATTTTTAAATCACCATATTGCTCCAAGAACGGGCGAGGAGGAGGAGTGAATGTGCTACTACTAGTTTACCCATTTAATTATAGTCTCACTAAGATAAATACAGTAAAGTTTATCTTTCACCAAATAGAATATTTACTAAGAAATCACAATGTAACCATAGAAACATTACTTGGTGCATGTGTGTGTGTGTGTGTGTGTGTGTGTGTGTGTGTGTGTGTGTGTGTGTGTGTGTGTGTGTGTGTGTGTGTGTGTGTGTGTGTGGTGCAGGTGGTGGATCTACAAGGCGACATACCCGAGTATCGTGTTTAGACTGGGCACATGGGCAAGAGTCCAATCACCAGTCACTCACTGCAACCCCAGGCCTAACTCTAGGATGGGACCCGTAGCAACCCCCTGGGCTGGCTACTCTGATAACATAAAGGGTTTTCTGAACCACTTCTTGTCTTGCAGTTCACTTAGGACCAGTTTCCTACAGGAGACCCCTCCCTGGACCACTGAATCTCAGACCCATAATCTCTAAGGATTTTCAGGGAACTCAAACCCCGCCAGCACGGTAAGGCGATGGTTCAAGGTAATGGGATAAGCAAGAAAGCAAAGCTCTTGATTTATTGGTCAATCCAGTCCTTGCTTTTGGTCATGAGTTTTGGATAATGACTAACAAATCAAGACAGCACATACAGGCAGTGGAGCATCTGACTTTTACTGAATAAAAATTTGTTTACACTACTACATAGGCAACAAGCAAACAATAAAAATCTGCTTAATTTCTTTTGCAAAGCTACGAACTTGGGCTGAGAAGAGTAACGGATAATGGATGATTATTTTGACCCATATTTCGATCAAGGTAAGCAAGAAAACCCAATCAAACAGCAAACTATCGCACATTTTTAACTAAATTGTTTAATGAGCTCAATGATTTCTCTTCTATGGTTTTAGATACAATGGATCAATCACTCCTCACTTCTCGCAATCAGTCTGGCTGCAGCATTGTACCCTATGATGCTTACATAGTGCCATCTCTCTTTTTTCTGATGTTCCCCATTGCCCTGCTGCTGAACATTGTGGCAGCATGGGTATCTCTGCACCTGAAGTCTACTTCCACATTTGTGGTGTACCTGAAAAATCTTGTGGCTGCTGACATTGTCATGACCCTGATGATCCCGATCAAAGCTGGGGGTAGCCTGCCGGGTACATGGCAGTATTTATCTGGGGCCGTTTGCAGGTTTTTCTCTGTTATTTTCTACAATGCACAGTACACCTGCATTGCTCTGCTGGGCTTGATCAGTCTGGATCGATTCTTTAAGATCATGATGCCCCGCAGCCGTTTTTTTGGGCAGAGTTTGACCATCAGCAAAGCGATATCAGGCACGGTGTGGGTGATTCTGTTTGGGGTTGCAGGTTTACCAAACATGCTTTTGTCTAACAAACCAGGCGTCAACATGACCGACATCAGCTCTTGTATGGTTCTGAAAGGACCAGAGGGGATAGCGTTTCATGAGAACACGTCTCTTGCACTGAATGTGTTTTTTTGGCTCGTCAGTGTGGTCATTGTGGTTTGCTACATCTGCATCGCAAACAAAGTCATTCAGTCCTACAGAAGGTCTGGCAGCAGTAACAGCCACGGTAAAAAGAAAATCAAACTGCGAGTTTTTCTTGTTATAATTGTGTTTTTCGTGTCTTTTGTTCCATACCACATGATCAGGATTCCCTACACTTTTCAGCAAGTCAGCTATTCCTACACAGAGTGCTCTCAAGCATACGAAAACATCCGGTTTGCCAAGGAACTCAGCCACTGGCTCGCTACAACGAACGTCTGCATGGACCCACTTCTCTACGTCTTCCTTTGTCGAGAATTCAAAGAGAAACTGATGTCCATGATGAAGAATATTGTTGTCCTATTTAAACCCGCCACAGGACACACATTAAAAGCCTCAGTTTCCCACTAAAAAGTGTACAGAAGGCCTGGAATTCAATAAGTAGAGCTCAATATACCGTATTTGTTTTAATTTAAAGGAACACTAGACCGTTTCCTGCTCCCCACCCTACTGGTTGAAAGTGGAATTACAACTGTTGTAAACAACCAAGCAGCCACCTGCTTTAGCTAGCGCTAACAACAAACACTAACATGAGCTAACGAATGCTAAAGTAAACCACAAAGAAAATGATCCACACTGTTGGACAAAAATATTCTTACTTACAAGTCCAATATCAACAAAGCTAGGTCACAATCAGTCCGTGATTATGTAGCCTACTTTAGCTCCCCCAAACCAGCATAGGCCACGCTGATGTTCACTCCGGTTTTAGCAATTTGCTTCACTTCCAAAGACACAACAGAAACAGCAACTGATAATGCTAAACACTAGCATCACTAACAGCTGTAAACCAGGGAAACAGTGCCCCCTATAGGGCACCTACTCACTCCACAAAAATATCTAGTGAGGCTTTTGGCGAGCAGAGAGCTGCAGAGTGGTGTCAGATATGAAACTGGTCAATTTTCTAACTCAACCAACACTGTGATCAATGTTAAAGCTCTAGCTTAAAGTTTCACTTCAATTCAATTCAAAGATACTTTATTAATCCCAGATGGAAATCAGAGTTTCAGTACACACAATTCTGAGATCAGACATACATACATACATAGGCATAGACACATGACAAGAATTGGTGACTGTGGTCATTTGCAACCCGAGTCGCGCTACCTTCATAGAGATCAGAGGGTTTACACATGAGGATTGCGTCAGGTGGAGGAAAAAAGGCACTTCAGAGTTACTCTCCACAGGGAGGGCAGCTTTGCTATGCAAAAAACACCTCAGACAGAAATGCAACAGATTTCAGGCATTACACAACATAAGTGTCCACTAGGTGGGGAGGTAGGGTTGGGGACTCTCCTCACATCGGTGCATGCAGCCGCAATAGCAGCGCTCGTCACCTCCGTTTGGACAGGGGAGGGAGGTAATTGGGTTAGAAAGCACAGTCACTCCTGGAAACGGTTCCACGGCCTTCACCGGTCACAGTCCCGCCCAGGCTGGGATAGTGAGACAGAGTTGCCACGGCGACAGCAGCATTCCACATTTCTTCTGGGGGAGGAGTAATCACTTCAGCCTCACAGGCTCAAGGGCACCAGATTCAGATAAGAACTTGTTTTGGGGCCAGACAGAGATAATTTCCTCTCTGTCTTAAAGTTCTGTTGGTCTCCAACCCCTCTAAATCCAATAATGACGTAAATTAATCTATTCCCAACCATGCTGTCCCGTCAACTCGCTCCTTGATTGAATCAACCTTCTGTGCCAGAGCCTGAATCTCAGCCAAAGTTCCAAGCTTACGACTCATCTCGACAATTATATGAGTTTGTGCATTCACAGCGCGGTGTAATCCATCCCTGAGCTCCGGGATTGAGCCAATATTCCTCGAAAGCTCATTAATTTTCCAGCAAGCCAGGTAACCGCTCAGGGCAAACAGCTGGAATCTTGACACCAACACCACGAATATCCAGACGCCTTCAGAATCCTCTACAGACCGTTGAGAGAGGCAGATCAGGTTCCACTGTTTCCAGGAGTCCAGTATATACCCAGCCTGCTCTGTCCCAGAGGGGCAACCGGGAGCCCCTTCTCCCATTCTCATCATTGAAAAAATCTTGTCAATCGAGTTGAGAGACCAACTGACCAGGTCCATTTTTAATAATTTCCAATTTCCAGAAAAAATGCAGAAGCGCCATACACCCAAAAACAGACAAAGAGCCTTGGGGTAAGATAGGAAGGAGAGGAGGAAAAAAGCGTCTGTACTCTCCAAGAGCTGGAAGAAAGACCAACTAGATAGTTTAAAATACTGTCTAGTGTTTAAGATGTCTGCTGATGTTTTCATGTACATAGAAATGTTCAGTATCTAGTAAATTTGTTTATTTGTCTCTATTGAGTTGAACGACTTTTGTTGACACTCTTTAAACTGATTTTTAGATGTAGATAAAGACTCTCAGAGTCAAGATGAGTGCAACAGTGTTGCACAAAACTGGTTTTGTCGCTACTGAGCAACAGATTGATGTAAAGGTCGCAGTTATTTACAACACATATTTTGAGTGCTGACAGATCTTTTTTTGTCATTCTCGTTGTTATTTTCAATATTTGGTCAAAGTGGCTAAAGATGAGACACGTTTAAATTCTGACATGAGCATTGGCAGACTGTCTGACTAGTTACAGCTGTCTGATATGTACCTATTTTTTCTATTTCATACGTAAAAGGGCTCAATAAGTTAAACATAAAGTCATTAAGTTGTTTTTATGAATAGCAAATAGCTCCGCTAAGGCCTTTAGCATTAGAGGGAATGTCGTAGAAAACACATGAACTGAAACTGCACTGCTCACAAGAATTAAAGGAACACTCTTTTTATTGGGCCAGGCATGAAATCAATTAAACCTGGTTGATTAAGCAGCTGAGGGCATTGTTAATCACTTTCAGCTTTATTGGTGTTCATGGACTTAAAGGGGCATTATGGAAGTTTGACAGCCAAAACATGTATAGAAATAATAAATGTCTTCTTCATACATTCTCCTGCAATGCCCTGGTCCTGTAGAATGAGCCCTGGCATTTTTTACTGTGATTGCCTGTTTTTCTGTAAAATCACAGAAAAAGAGAGATGCTCGGGTCAAGCAGGCTGCTTCATGCGTGTTCACGCTCAGGCATAGCCCGTAGCATTTGCTATCCGTAGCTTTAGCAGCAGAGAGAGAGGCAGTGCCACTTTGTCGCTGTTCCTAACGCCTAGTGACAAACCTAGCTACATTTCTGAGGACCCTTAGCTACTTTCTTCGAGATATTTCCTGCAAATTAGCAACAAAATAGCCATTTCCGCTCTGAACCGTTCTTTGAACGTTGTTTCAGCTGTCATCAAGGATATAAATACTACAGATACAAATTATGTCACTGGTGCTTTAGCTCACCTGGGAAGACGTTGGACTCTCATGCAGAAGACCTGGGTTCGAGTTTCTTTTTTACATTAATGGTATATTTTTACAGTAAGATGCCCAAATTTGTATTTGAGACTCGCCGGATGGCATTGAATTCACAGATAAAAAAGATGTCAAGCAAGGGAAGGGAATGATCTGAGCATGCAGGAGGACTGACCCATCATAAACCTTTGTCGGCTGTGCTGAAGAGAAAGGTACAGAAGCAAATTATTTAATTAATTAGCTGCGTGTTCTCCTGTCCTCTGTCCTCCGGGCCTCACACACACACACACACACACACACACACACACACACACACACACACACACACACACACACACACACACACACACACACACACACACACACACACACACACACACACACACACAAACACGGGACTGTCTCAGCTGTTATTTTCGTTAAGGAGTGTGCACATACAGCATGCACGCCTCATGCACGAGCCTACTATTGAAACTGCCGTTACGCTTTTGGCCTGAGGGGGCAATCGCGAGCATAAAAATTCAAAACTCCGTAAAGTCCCTTTAACGACAGGTGCACTAAAGTGGCAACAATTACAAAACCCTCAAAACAGGACTGGTTTAACATGTAGAGGTCATTTCAAGTTTCTCCCTCTTGATCTTTTTCGGCTGGTTTTCCACTCGTGCTAGTTTTGGCTCTCTACTGGCAGTATGAGGCGATTCCTTAACCCTACAGAAGTTGCACAGGTTGTCCAACTTCTCCAGGACGGCACATCCACACGTGCTGCAGCAAGAAGGTTTAATGTGTCTCCCAGCACAATCTCCAGAACATGGAGGAGATTTCAGGAGACTGGCGGTTATTCTCGGAGAGCTGGACAGGACCGTAGATAGTCCACAACCCATCAGCAGGACTGATACCTGCTCCTTTGTGCAAGGTGGAACAGGCTGAGCCCTGCTCGTGCCCTACAGACTGACCTCCAGAGGGCCACTGGTGTGAATGTCTCTACCCAAACAATCAGGAACAGACTTCATGAAGATGGCCTGAGGGCCCGACGTCCTGTAGTGGGCCCTGTGCTCACTGCCCAGCACCGTAGAGCTCGGCTGGCATCTGCTCAAGAACACCAGAATTGGCAAGTCCGCCACTGGGGCCCTGAACTTTTTACAGATGAGAGCAGGTTCACCCTGAGCACCTGTGATAGGCGTGAAAGAGTCTGGAGAAGACGAGGAGAACGTTATGCTGCCTGCAACGTCGTTCAACATGACAGGTTTAGTGGTGGGTCAGTGATGGTCTGGGGAGGCATATCCATGGAGGGACGCACAGACCTCTACTGCCTAGGAAATGGTGCTCTGACTGCCATAAGGTATCGAGATGAGATCCTTGAACCCGTTGTCAGACCCTACGCTGATGCAGTAGGTCCTGGTTTTCTCCTAATGCACCACAATGCCCGGCCTCATGTGGTAAAAGTATGCAGGCAGTACCTGGAGGATGAAGGAATTGAAACAGCTGAATGGCCTACACGATCCCCTGACTTAAGCCCAATAGAACATCTGTGGGACAGGTTGCTCCTCAGACTGTACAAGAGCTCAAGGATGCCTTCACACAGATCTGGGAGGAAATGCCACAAGACACCAGCCGTTGTCTCATTAGGAGCATGCCCTGACGTTGTCAAGCATGCACACAAGCTCGTGGGGGGCCACACAAGATACTGAAAAGCAATTTGTGTTGCAGAAATGAAGTTTTTGAAATAATGGACTAGCCTGCCACATCTTCATTTCACTCTGATTTTAGGGTGTCTACACAACTGAGCCCCCTGTAGGCTGATAACTTTTATTTCCATTAAAAGACTTGGCATCCTTTTGTTCCTAAGACATTGCCCTGTCGTTATTTGTAGATATCCAACTTCACATTGAGATCTGATGAATCTAATGTGTTTCTTTAAAGTGTTCCTTTAATTTTTGTGAGCAGTGTAGTTGCATTTCACAAAGGAGTTTGTTTGTGGTGAGTGAATAAAAATGGCCTGCATCAGATTTTGCAACTGTACTTAAGCTCAAGCTGCAGGTGTAATCAAAGTGGGTTGTGGTTTATTGATGAAATGTGCAATAATATGTGCAAGACCAGATTACTTTTGCTGACTGGATGTTCGACCACTGTTTGTGTCTTATTTGTGTTTTTGTGTTGCTGTTGGTTGTTTTGGGTTTTTTTAACTGCAAGAAGTTTTTTAAATAATAAAACTTAAAACATGTTTTGATACATTTATATATCTGTCATCAATATCATGGCAGTTCTGACTAAACATGTGTGTCTGGGTGGGGGGTTGGTTTGTGGTGGTGGTGGGGGGGGCATTTCCTTGATGCTTTCTCTGCTCTATCTGCAGTATTTCCTGGCTAAAATCCAAAGTCACACAGGAAGTCAGTTGTGGAATTTCTCACAAAGAGTTATTATTTTGGGCGGAAGTTTTAAAACAAAACTTAAAACTAAAAGTACTGCCTTTTCAACTGGTTCTGTAAAACATAAAAGATGCATGAAGAAAAAAGTCATTTATTCAACAATAAATGAAATGGGAATGGAATGAAATTCTTGAGCATACAAGAAATTCCCCCGTGCTGCTTTGTCGGTCGTTTTCGTACCAGCAAACCACGGCTCTTCTTTCTTTTTGACGATGGGGTAACATGAAGGGAGGTGCAACGTTGAGCAGGAGGTCTCAACATTTGGTCAATTATAAATGCAAGCACCTGCTAATAGACCAGCGGAAGTAAACAGAGGCAGAGGGGCTGGCACAGAGAAGAACAAGCCTCTCTGCAGACAATTGGAACAGGAAGCGAGGAAGGAAAGGGTCTTTCACCCAGAGGAAGGCCGGGCTAACACACAGGGATTGAGGCAAGACAGCCAAACAGTAACTCCAGAGACCACCCATTGTAAGGGCATCACACACACACACACACACACACACACACACACACACACACACACACACACACACACACACACACACACACACACACACACACACACACACACACACACACACACACACACACACACACACAGGGAGAGAGAGGGAAGGAGAGAGAACTTTTACTGGAAACTGAAGTAACATTTAGCATTTTTTCTTTACTTTTTGTTTTTGTTCCACTAAGAAGGAGAAAAGCAAATCGGATATTTCACTTCCTTTTTTCTGTCAGTTCTTTTGCTCTCGTTGTTCTTCCAATGTCCACTGCCAGGGTTAAGAAAGACGAGGAAGGTAAGGCTTTAGCTCTTTTAGATGAATTGACGTTGTTTACATAGCAAACGATGAATATTAGAATGCTACATCGACATAAATATAGGAATGCTAACTTTTACTGGTGCAGTCTGGCTGCTTGTAGCACCTGCTCCTGTCCATGTTACACTCTATGTAAAAACAGAACACCTGTGAGACAGGTAAATTAAAAAAAACCTGTCATTTATTAAGTGGTTTTGATTTAAAATTTCCTAAAATCTAATCAGGACGTGGTTTTTAGTGAATCGTCTTCGTGACAGATAAAAACTTTGTTCTTCTTTCCTTCTCTTACTTCTTGAAAGTTTCTCCTCAATCACAGAGAATTTTTCTGGTGAAGAAGCTGACTCACTCTGAGTGCTAAAATATCGTGCATGATCTTGCAAAACTGCAAAAGATCGCATGCGACCACTAGACCAGACATTTGTGACACAATCAACGTGTCACAAAAGGAAGGTTTATAAAAAACGTGACTGCCAGTAGAGGATTCGCTGTGTGCTTTGATGTTGGGTTTGATATTGGTTGTGATCACGCCTTCATAGAGTTGTGTTTTAACACCTATTTCCTAAATATGTCTTATTTATTTGATCTATCTCCATCTATTAATCCACAATGATCTTTTAATATATCTAAAGGTCCACTGAACATCAGACAATGAACAGCATGCTGAGCAACACCTCCTCCGGTTGTTCTAGAGACTCGAGTGTGACAGGAGTGGTCTTCCCCATCCTATACAGCATTCTGTGTTTGGTCGCCCTGATTTTGAACTCCCTTGCTGCGTGGATCTTCTTCAAAATCCCCAGCACCTCAACATTTGTGGTTTTTCTAAAAAATGTGGTAAGAAACTAAATAAAGTTCTTGCAAAGAAAATCCTGCAAACACGGCAAAGCAAGAGGGCAGCGACGATAAGACGGACTTGTTTTTACCAACAGGTGGTGGCTGATTTGCTGATGACCCTGACTATCCCTGTGAAAATGCTGAGTGATGCAGGAGTGGGGCTGCAGGTCTTTTACTGCAGATACTCTGGCGTGCTTTTCTACACCACCATGTACATTAGCATCTTGCTGCTGGGCCTCATCAGCCTGGACCGCTACCTGAAGATCGTCAGGCCCTTCGGGAGGTCCTCTCTGCAGCGGGTTCGTGTCGGCCAGGTGATCAGTGCAGCTGTTTGGGTCATAATGTTGAGTCTGTCTCTGCCCAACGTCATCCTCAGTAATAAGCCACCTAAAATCACAAGAGGCAGACTCGAGTGCAAGTCCATGAAGGGCAACGCTGGAATGCTGTGGCACGAGGGATTGAACTACTTCTGTCAGGTGGGTATTCCCAAAGAAATAGTCAAGACATTTTGGTAAATGTGCTTCATTCAGAAAAACAAAACTATGTTGAGAACGTTATTCTATTTAATTAAAGGTAAGCTTCACTGAGAAACCTATTTGTTCATTTTGAAAAACGACTGTGAATTTCACGCATGCAAAACGTGAAAGTAGTCTTCAACCCCCTATTTCCTGCATTAGACACCAAGAGAAAAAAATATGGGGGAACTCTCGTGTCAGAAAAAATCAGACAGTTATAAGTAACACTATAAAATGTGCATTCATGTGGTCACCCATCTTCACTTGCAACTGAGAAAAGCTGTGATGATTATGCATCCAGGAGAGTGTGCCGCGTGTGCGGTGCTCGACCAGAGGAGGCAGGGCTTTCTCGGTCTGGGCCCTCAAATTATGGAACCACCTTCCATTAGAGATCAGACTAGCACCCTCTCTGCCAGTTTTCAAGAGCAGGTTGAAGACCCATTTTTACACCATGGCTTTTGCCTTTTAACTAATATCTTTATTGCTTTAATCCATTTTGTTTTATATTAGTCACTACATAGTTGTTGTTGTTTTACTGTTTTATATCTTTGTTGTGTGTACAGCGCTTTGGCTCAATCTCTCATTGATGAAAAGCGCTTTATAAATAAAGATGATGGTGACGAGAGAGCCGAGCACGGCTAGTTGAAGCTAACCTTTTATAATAGCAACTCCACAACATGGCGAACCCCCGTTTGGGCTTGTGTTGTTTGTAGACATAAAACATCAGTGTTGCAGAAAAAATGAGGCGGCAGAATGAAGCCGAGTTCACACTGGAGGCATCAGCAGTGCAGAGGGGCAGCGGAATGTCGCCGCATCGAATAGAATCCATTACAGTCAGTGGGGTTGATCAGAAAAACCAGAAGAATAAGAAGAATCAGAAGAACCAGAAGAACCAGAAGAATCAGAAAAACCAGAAGAGCCAGAAGAATCAGAAGAATCAGAAGAATTAGAAGAACCTGAAAAATCAGAAGCGGGGCGGCGTCAGGCCCGGCTACTTGGGCTCAAGCCCCGAATGTTTTATGAAAAGACTTGTGCGTGTTACATGTGTGTGTGTGTGTGCGCGCACGTGGACACGTGCATGTGTGTTAAGCCCTGGATCTTCTTCAGTCCTAAATCCGCCCCTGATCAGAAGAACCAGAAGAATCAGAAGAACCAGAAGAATCAGGAGAACCAAAAGAATCAGAAGAACCAGAAGAATCAGAAGAACCAGAAGAATCAGAAGAACCAGAAGAACCAGAGAATCAGAAGAATCAGAAGAATCAGAAGAACCAGAAGAACCAGAAGAATCTGAAGAATCTGAAGAATCAGAAGAACCAGAATGATCAGAAGAACCAGAAGAATCAAGAGAAGCAAAATAATCCGAAGAACCAGAAGAATCAGAAGAACCAGAAGAGCCAGAAGAATCAGGAGAACCAGAAGAACAAGAATGATCAGAAGAACCAGAAGAGCCAGAAGAATCAGAAGAATCATAAGAACCAGAAGAATCTGAAGAATCAGAAGAATCATAAGAACCAGAAGAATCAGGAGAACCAGAAGAACCAGAATGATCAGAAGAACCAGAAGAATCAGAAGAACCAGAAGAATCAAAAGAATCAGAAGAATCAGAAGGACTTTATTGCCTTATGTGCGAGAAATCACAACATTAGGAAATTGCTGCGGTACTTGGTGCAAAAAGAAAGGTTAAAAAAAAGAGATAAGCTAATTTAGGAAGTAAGAATATAATCGTGATAAAATAATAATATAAAGTGGCAACAATTAGACGAATGGCTATGTATTACCCTCTGTAGTCGTGGTGGTGCTGCTGCTAGTGGTTTTGTGAGTATGGACTCTAGTGGCTTGTGGTCCGATTCAATGGTCCCGTGTCGACCGTACATGTACTCGTGGAACCGCTTGCAGCCAAAGAGAACAGCATACAGCTCTTTTTCTATTTGGGCATAGTTCCGCTCAGTGCTGTTAAGTGATTTGGATGCGTAGGCAACTGGCCTGCCATCCTGCAGCATCACAGCACCAAGGCCACTTTGAGATGCGTCGACCTGGAGTCGTAGCGCTTTCTTGGGGTTGAAGAAGGAGAGGACTGGGCCTGGTTCTCTAGTGAGCAGCTCCTTCATTTGTTGAAAGGATCTGTCATGGTTCTTGTCCCATACAAACTCACTGTCCTGCTTTAACAGCTGACGGAGAGACGCGTTTATCTCTGACAGGTGTGGGGCAAATCTTGCTAAATAATTAACCATATGTCCAGTGTGTTGTTTTATGCTGTGTTGTGTCGGGGCAGGAGCCTCACTGCTGAGGACAAAAACAGGATCAACAAAATGATCAGGAAATCTGGCTCAGTGGTTGGGCAACGCTTGGACTCATTTGACATGATCATCGACAAATGGATGAAGAGTAAACTTAAGACAGTTATGACTCTGGAGGATCACCCCCTTCACCACATTTTTAAGGATCTCGGGAGCTCTTTCAGTGGGCAAATGTTAATGCCCCGGTGCTCCACTGAACGTTTTAGGAACTCTTTTATTCCTGCTGCAGTGCGTTTTTACAATGACCATTTCGTATGATTGTATATTTGATATTTTTATATTTTATCAGGACCAGTGAATGTTTTATTGTGTGGATGTGCATGTTGTGTTTACTTGTCCAAGGCAATTCAATTTCCCCCTTGGGGATTAATAAAGACAACCTTGAACCTTGAACCTTGAACCACCCCCAGCACTGTTTCCAGTTCTGCCCTGTTCTGTGGGGGCGCCATGTCTTGGACTGCTTTTACTTTTTGTGGGTCTAGTTTAAGTCCTTCGTGTGATAATGTGTGACCAAAGTCACTGACCTCTTTGATGCAGATGGTGCACTTGTCGGGGTTCAGTTTTACACCTCTCTCCCTGCTGCGCTCCAGCATGGCCCTCAAGTTATCGTCATGCTCCTGTTTGGTTGCTCCGAAAACCAACACATCGTCCACAATGGCTGCCACACCCCTCAGGCCCACGTAGGTCTCATCCACGCGTCGTTGGAACTCATCCTGGGCTGAGATTATGCCAAAAGGCAGCCTGAGGAAGCGGTACCTGCCAAACACAGTATTAAATGTGGTTAACAGAGAAGATTTGTGGCTTAGCTTAATGGCCCAGTAGCCCGATCTGGCGTCCAAGACACTGAAATACTTGGCCCCGGCAAGTTTTGTGGTGACATCCTCCAAGGTGGGTAGAGGGTAATGGGGTCTTTGTTTAGCCTTGTTGAGGGTTCTGGGGTCCAGACATACTCTGAGTGCCTGTTTTGGGTTTCTCCACAACAACAAGTGCATTCACCCAGTCCGTAGGATCTGTCACCTTGCATATGATTCGATTCCTTTCCATGCTGTCAAGCTCGTCTTTGAGTCGGGCTCGCAGAGCGATGGGAATTCGACGAGGTGGGCTGACTGTGGGTGCGACTTCTGGGTTTACATGGAAACTGCATTCACCAGGAAATTCTCCTATCCCTTTGAACACGTCAGCATACTCGTCTAGTATTGCCTGCGAACTGTTGGTTGTCTTGTCTCTTTCCTCCGTCACTGCCATCATGATCCTGACCAGATTTAGGTCACGGCAAGCTTTCATTGCTAATACAGGTGGGGCGCTTGTGTTGACAACGGGGAATTCCAACGTGCGAGTTTTGTCTTTGTGTTCGCATTTTAGCTGGCATTTTCCTTCCACACTGAGTGAGTGTCCATCGTAATCTGTGAGCTTGTGCGTGACAGGCTTCAGCGTCACATGTGGGAAGAGCGTCTGGAACACGTTGGCTGGAATTGTGTTTGCTTGTGCCCCAGTGTCGACTTTGAACGTCACTGTCTGTGGGGGAAAACCAAGTTGCATGTCAGCAAATGCTTGCTCATCGTTTCTTCCTTCATTTTCTATTGTGATGCTATCCATGTAGAGACAGTCTTGCTCCTCAGGTGGGCTTTTGCCTGCGAAGGGAATTTTGACCTGCATGCTCTTGCAAAATGGTTCATTTTCTTGCATTTTGCACATTGCCTTCCTTTTGCTGGGCAGGTGTCTTTATTATTGTGTTGTCCGGCACAATAGCTGCACGTTTTCAGTGTTACTTTAGCGTGTTCCTTTGATTTCACGCTTCTTGTTTGATGTTCTTGTCTGTGTGGATTCCTGCCGATAGCATGCACAGTTTCCTGTCCCCTCGAGTGGCCCATAGATTTTAGCTGCTGCTTTGCTAGCTCGTGTGATCGTGCTATATCTATAGCTTTCTCAAGCGTGAGCTCTGCGCCTTGGCTGAGAAGCTTTTCTCGGACGTGTGGCGAGTTAGTGGCGGATACGATGCGGTCCCTGACCATTTCATCTGTATTTGGGTACCCACAGTCTTTAGCAAGCAGTTTCAGTTCTGTAATAAACTGTTCAAACACCTCATTTTCACCCTGCATCTTTTCATGGAACTTATATCTGGCGTAGATTGGGTTCGCTTTCGGTGTGATGTAATCGGTGTACTTATCGTAGTACGTCTGAAGCCTTCGGGAGTCGTCTGCGGTGAGCGTCCACGTGTTGTAGACGTCCCGTCCTTTCTCACCCACCCATAGAAGAAGGTAGCTGCATTTGTCTGCCTCCTCCTTCCCCCGTAGAAAACCAGCGAACATTAGCTCGGTGTGCCGCTTTAAAAGCCGCCATGCCTCGGGCAGGTTGCTAGAGACCCAATCCATGCGCGGTGTGGGAACGCCGTAAGCCTCCATGTCTGCGCTGTCCGACGGCGAGGGGTTGCGTATATAACCGCTACTCTGACACCATGTATCATCCTCTCTGGATACCAAGCTTATTATTAAATGCACGCACACACCGATCTTTGTCCCAATTCCACTTTATTTCCTCATTCCTCCTTACAGCTTCTTCCTCGCTGGTTTCACCACCTTGCAACAACACAGCACCCTCTAGTGGCTGGTGCGAACATAGGTCAAGATGTTACAGGCTACAAGACAGCTTAGGTACGAATAAGTTCAGACCACAGCAGATTTATTGAAATAACGAGTGTAAGACTCCTTTAAAATATCTGTTTATCTAAATTTTTTTAGTCTTCATGCTCAGTTTTCACTGATCAATTTCTTAGACTTTTTAGATGCTTGTTAATATCCTCGGTTAAACTATATGTAGCATGTTTCACAACTATGCCATTCATTTGATAAACGGACTCACAATAAGATTCGGCATTGCTTCATGTTTGTTTGTGTTTGTTCCTAGGTCATATTCTGGGGCGTGTTTGCCTTGATGGCGGTGTGCTACACTTTCATCAGCAAGAAGGTTTATGAGTCATACAAAGCATCTAAGAGCAGGTCGCAGGCTGCCAGCAGGAAAACCAAAGCGAAGGTCTTTGTGGTTGTGGGGGTGTTTTTCGTCTGCTTCGCCCCTTTTCACTTTACACGTGTCCCGTACACCCTGTCTCAAACTCGCAACATCAACTACTGTCAGACAAAGCAAGCACGATACGTTGCCAAGGAAGCCACGCTATGGCTGTCGGCCGCCAATATATGTCTCGACCCGCTTATTTACATCTTTTTGTGCAAGGTGTTTAGGAGAAGACTGATGACCACATTCAACAAAACACCTACAGAGTCTTCAGTAGCGACTTCAACACAACTGGAGATGACACAGTTAGACCACAACACCAGACTGTCGCACAATGACAAAATCACTAATTCAGACATTTCAGGATGAAACTTTGAAACGCTGTTTATTGTACTGAAATGAGGCCATTTGTCATTATGTCCAAAGTCCTACAATGAACTTAAGAGTCAGCAGAGTGGGCAGTTCTGTTTAAACACAAAAACGCATCACATGTTTAGAGGATGACATTTGTTTCTGATCTGGGCACTTCTGCACAGTGTTTGCTTACTCATTCGAAACATTTCCTAGCTGTCATTTTCTGCTTCCTGCCATCTAATCTTGTTCCAACTGCACTTTCCTTTTGCTCAAGTGTAAAAATACTGATATGACAAAATTTCCCATGATTATTATTATTAATTCTCCAGAAAGTGAATGATTTGGAAATGCAATGAAACGCAGTAGTTTAGATGAAATAAATTTTTTATATCTATTTTTTATTGTGATATTATTAGTGTTGGGGTTATTAGGAGCGAACAATTCGTAAGCGTTAACTTACTTTTGGATTCTTCAATAAATTCTGTAAATATGTAAATATTTACTGATTTATTAATTAATTAAGATATTCTTAGATATACGGGGCACCATTCCCTTTTTTCCGGGGAAAAATTGAATCCAAAACTCTTATCAGTCTTTCTTGAAGTTCGTAGAATCCTTGGAGCAGAGACTTCTCTTCGACACAACAAAGCTACTGGACACAAAAATCTGAATTTTATAACATTTAATTAACAATTTGTCAAATGAATAAACAGTGGAATAGATGAATAATAACCGTGTGATATGATTGAAGATGGATGTGTTTGCATGTGATGGAGGATGTATGAATGGGGTCCTTTGTTCTCACAAAGGAGTAGTGTGTATGTGTGTGTGTGTGTGTGTGTGTGTGTGTGTGTGTATGGATTCAAAATGGAGTCTTGAATACAAGATGGCTGACCCCTTTGTCTGGCTAAAGTGTGGGTGGCAACTTGCACTTTAACTTCCAAAGCACTTAGAATCAGTAGTAACTTAACCTTAAATCACTCAAAACATTTCAAAAGATCATGAAACAACACAAAAGATTAATCACAAATTAATATCTTTTAGTTTCAGCCTGGCCATGACAGAAACCATTTTAAGATACCAAACAATGATCAATAAGCAGTTTATTCTTCAAAATGACCCGACGGACGTGTTTGGGACGAAAGAGGAAAACACGAAGCTACTTTTTAAGCAATAGACGCGGTTTATTGCTTATTTGAGACTATAGAGGAAACGGGAGAAGAAAAGGAGAGAAAAAAATGAGTTTCCTGATCACCAAAGCAGCAAGGCGTCCCCCGCTGTTATGACTTGACGGTTCTCCGTTTTTCTCCGCAGTTTCCGGCGTCATCCGTCGGTTTGATGCTTTCTCCGTTGTTTGGCGTTCACGAGTGTTTCTCCACGGGCTGGACAGAGACAGCAAAGTTTCTTTCTGTGCTGAGTTATAACTTACAGCGTTTCTGAGAGCTGGATGGAGTTGTTGTTTCCCTCCGCAGTTCTGTGTCCTCAAACATCAGCTGGAGGGGAGCAGAAACGAGCAGATCTGATGGGCTTGCAGTTTAGTTTCCAGCAGTTCCGTGGCTCAACTTGGCTCTTAGAGCTTCCGCGTGCTCAAAGAAGTCGGAGCGTTCGACAAGCGTGTCCTAACCGCCAGGTATCCTGGGCAAAAGAACGAGGTTTCTTTGTCTCTGCTGAAGATTTATGGTCTTAGTTCGCGGGAAAAGTCCACGGCTTCCCGCACATGCGCAGAACGTGTTTCTGGTACTAGGCGGTGACGTCATCACAATGCTTCCGTGTGCAAAGCATCATGGGAAATGAAGTTTCTTGGCGCTGATGTGATTATTTGCTTTTCAGAGCAATTTAAGCACAGTCATTTTGGAGAAAATCACTGCATAGTAATTTCCTCATGAGGTCAGACCCTCAACATTCCCCCTTTTGGTTTCGGGGATCGCGCCCAAAGCTCGATCGTCGGAAGCACATATGGGTTTGTTCCTCATGAACGTAGGTCGACTTGATTGTCGGAAGCACAGGTGGGTTTGTCCCTTAGGACGTTGGTCTCCTTGGACGCCTTTGTCTTTGGTCTTTGTCTTGGATCCTGGCGCCTTTGGTCTTTGATCCTGGTCAGGCACAAAGAGGATAGGAAACGGGATAGTCCCCAACGCGCATAACGAGAAGAAGCCACTCACGCAGGTGGTACGCAATGATGATGTCGTCCATGCGAGAGGTAGTAGTGTAGAAGGAGGAAGGTCGGTGGGCGGTTAACTCCACGAGTGGACACAAAGGCATCTCACCGCCGGCCATACAGTTCAGTTTATGGAGCACGCGGTGATGTACGAGGTCCATAGTTCGCAAACGCGCATTGACCTATGTGGTCCCAAGATTCCCCCCTTTTTGGTCCAAAGGGTGGATCAGGACAGTCTTTGGGCTAAAACAAGGACCATAAAACTAAGAGGTACTACAATGTGCTGGTGCGTCAGACAGAGTCATTGACAGACTGAGCTGGGCCGGCACATAACCACTAGTTAATATGTGACCAAGTAAGAAACAAAAATACAGAAAACCCAAAAAAAAAAACATGTAACATATAACATCCAAGAAAATTCATAGCAACCTTGAGGTCTCATAAAATACATTCTTAGGTCATACATTCAGTGTGTAGCTTATAAAGAATGTGACATAATGCAACACTCAGATAAATATGTGAGGTAGACTAAAATGAGAACTACTCTTAGGGTTACAAAATAATAAAAAAAACGTTGCTCACCCCCTTTAGACAGGTGTGGTACATTAACGCTTGGAGTCTCCCCGAATGCGGTTACGAGGCACACCGTAGGTGAGCAAGTGCATCTTATCTTGGAGTTTATTAACACGCCTGTAGGCGGAATAAGCTATCACGGCCGTGATGAGCCATTCCATCCCCAGGGCGACCAATGTGCAGATTAAAGTCGTATAATCTGTGTCAATGTAGCGTCTTGGGCGTCAAAGTAAGTTCACGCGGGTTTTGTGTGAACTCAGCAAATTTGGTTCCTTCAATCAGTAATTGTTGGTCAATTTCTAAATCGATGGTAAAGTTATAACCCTGGAAAGCGTCCATGATCTCAATCTCCGAATCATGCTGTTCGAGGTTGAGGTGATGGAGTGTCAGGTTTCTAGTTCAAAGTGGAAATGCCTACCGTCCTTTCAAATACCAATGTTCAGCATCGACTTAAACCTATAGATGTGAGGTGTCACAATTATGGGAACATGTAACAGGAAACCGAGTTCTAATTTTCTGCATCAACGTGAATGGGAATTGCACTACCTAGGCTGTACGCTAGGTGGATTTGTGAAAGGTGCACAGTAGAGGGGTAGCAGCTGTCAAGCTAACTTTGAGCAGGTCCAGTGGTACCAAGTACGGGGAAATACGACTTTCAACCAAGCTGTCCAGCGTGGAACTTACTTCCCTGAGCAGGTCCTGCATCAAATCTCTCACCACTCGTGTGTACACAATATCCTGATGTATGGTTTCAGACAAAGTCTTGATTGCACGTAGAGATTCATTAATCAGAGCCTAGTATAAGTACCAGAGTACTCTGTAAGGTTTTAGTAGGTACATCCTGTTAGCGGTCTAGGAAGGAGTTTCTCTTGGTTAGTGAAAGTGACGGCGGGGGGGGGCCTGGTTCTTTGTCGGTTAGTACATGTTAGTGGGTTAAACGTGCACTTTCCCCCCCTTTCCATTTCCATGCATAGAACTATGTCGAGACTACGTCTACCTCCTGCGGGGAGTCTGGTCTCTGTACCCGCGGGGATGGTTTGACGTAGGGTTTGATTTGGTTTGCATGTGCCCATTTGTAGACAGGCTCCTGTCTCGCTTTGGTGATGCGTAACCTGTATGCAACTGGAGAGAGTTTTGCCACGATCTCAAATGGTCCTGACCAGCAGGGCAGGAACTTCTTAGCTTTGCGTGCCGGTTGGGCGAACCGAAAGTAGAATACTTTGTCACCCACCTCGTATTCGCGGCTGGTTGTCTTTTGGTCGTAGTAGGCCTTAGCGCCTTCTACGTTGGTCTCCAGTTTCTTCTGAGCGTGCGCGAACGTAGCTCTGAGGTGTGTTTTCAAGTCTGCCACATACTGATGAGCGGTATAGGCAGTGGCAACACTGACATCCTCTGGGTGATACAGGAGGTGCAGTGGTAGAGTCATCAGTCTGCCGGTCATCATCTCAAAGGGCGTAACCCCCGTGGATCGCTGTGGAGTGGACCGTATGGCCATCAGGACCAGAGGGAGCTTGACGTCCCAGTCCTTCCCAGTGGAGCAGACGTACTTTTTGAGCATAGAGACGACCGTGCGGTTCATCCGTTCGACCTGTCCGGATGACTGTGGGTGATAGGGGAGGTGGAATCTCACTTCCACTCCCAGAAGTTCAAACAGGGACGTCATTACACTGGATGTGAAATGAGTTCCCCGGTCAGAGTCAATGCAGAGTGGAAGTCCCCATCGACTGAAAACGTGGTTAATCAGCAGTACAGCGGTTGTGACGGCTGTATCGTTTGGCGCTGGAAGGCACTCCACCCACTTCGTGAAACTGCAAGTTACAGTTAGCATATATTTGTTTCCTCTTGCCGATTTGGGAACCGGTCCAACCCAGTCGATCTGCAGGTGGGACCAAGGGAAGGTTATTCCCCTGCGTTGCAGTGGTGCTCTAGCAAGCGGCTGGGAGGGTTGAAACTGGGCACAGATGAGGCAGCCTTGGACATAGCTGTGTACGTCCTTGGACATCGACGGCCAATATGCTACTTCTGTCAGTGACGCGAGGGTAGCTTTTGCTCCGCGGTGACCTCCAACCGGAGTGTCGTGGGCGTAGGCAAGCATCACTCCTCTGTGGTCGAGTGGAACAACCCAGCGCGGCGGGCTGTGATCGTCACGCATGTAAACTAACAAATCGTTTTGTAGTTTCAGGTGCGTGAGTTGACGATGCAGGGTTACCAAATCTCGGCTTGCGCCAGTAGGTGGTGACGGTTGTTTAGACATCGGGCCCTTTTGGAGAAGCTCGCGGATGAGCTTCAGGTCAGGATCTTGTTCCTGCATGGTGACTAGGTCCGCGTCCTGTGGTTTTCTGCCTAGAAACACGGGTACCCCAATGTTCTGAGGTTCGTCTGCCTGTTTAGCATGGCGACGAGTAATCGCACAGACCTCGTGAACGGCCTTGGGAGGAAGCCACTCGTCTTTGAATTCCCAACAGGTTCCCTGGTCAGCACCGAGCTTAGCAAGGCGGTCAGCTTCGTCATTACCATCTTTCTCTGGACCTAGGGTCCTGGAGTGACCTTTGACCTTTTTCCAGTAGACCATTATGCCTTTCTCAGTGGTGAGCAGATCACACGCTAGGAATAACTCCGAGTGTTTCACGTCTCTGTTCCTGGCGTTTTTCATGTGGTTCTCCTTCCACATGGGGAAGTGAGAGATGAAGCTGTGTCTAGCGTAGTTTGAATCTGAGCAAAGGACGATTTGAGTGATGTCCAAGGCTGCCGCCTGCTGGAGGGTTATCAACACTGCAGCAATTTCGGCGTACTGACTAGACTTTTGGCCCAACCGGTAGTGATTTGGTTGCTTAGTGTCACAGTCCACCCAAACGACTCCAACCCCGGCACGGAGCTGGCCTTCGTGAAGGTAGGCGCATCCATCAGTGTAAACTTTCGGAAGCCCTTGGCAAACATTCTCATCAAAGTAGCGATGATTGGATGCGGTTGGGTAGACTGCGGCAGGTGTGTCCAGGGGGCCCATGACGGAGTCAGAGTCACAGTGCTGGCAGCCTGCTAGCCCTTGTCCTAGCGCTAGCTTGGTGTTCTGACCATACTTGACCTCAATGTTGTATCCTTGGAGCACCATCATCCACGTCGCAATGC